AGAGAGTGTGTGTGTGGGTGAGTGTGTGTATGTTTGAGAGAGAGGGAGAGAAACAGAGACAGAAAAAAGAAATAGAACTAGAGAGAGAGAGAGGGGGGGGGGAAGTGTGTGAGAGAGAGAGAGAGAGAGCGAGAGAGAGATAAGAGAGAGAAGAGAGAGAAATATCACATACATACACGCTCTTCTCCAACTCCACACCCCGTACCCTCCCCCGAGCACAGTCATCACCAAGAATATTCTTTAGAAAAAGGGAAAGAAATTAAGTAGAGGAAGAAAAAAAAACTCCTTACCTTTCTTCCCTTTGCTTTTATCTTCCTCCCCATTCTCGGTTTTCGCCGTGTCCCCGTCACCAGCCGATGACGTAGTGGTCCCTGATGTGTAAGATTCCTGGGAGGACAATGACGCAGCCAGCGGGTCCGTTTGTTCACTCTTGACCACTTGCTCGTCATTGGAGAATCCAGAGTTGGTTAATCCATTCTTCTCAGAAAGTAAGTAACTATCAACAACATCCACGGAGCTGCCTTCTGGCAATAATCCCTCCGTGTGAATTATAGTTTCTTTTCCTCCTCCACCTCCTCCAATAAGTTTGGCCGGCTGGACAATAGTAGTAGTATCACCGCCGGACTTTGACGGAGAGTCGGCCGTCCTCTTGTTCTTTTTCTTTTTTCCCATGATGGGAGCCAGATCATTCGGGTTCTTCGCGTCCCCTTCTTCAGCCGCAACTACACTTTCGTCATCCTCATTACCACTCTCGTCGTTATCGGATTCACTAGAAGAATAATCACTACCACCACCACCGCTCACAACAGCAGCAGCAGCTGTTGACGATGATGATTTGTGAGAAGCCTTACCACCGTCACCGTCAGGATCCCCGGGCTCCGCGCGGCCGTTTGAACGGGAGGAGTGAACCAACACGAGATGGCTCTCTCTTTCGCGCTCCGCCGACGACGACTCGCCCGGCGTGGAATTCCCGCGTTGCGTAGGGCGTGGGCGTTGGGCCCCATCCGCACCTCCCCCGCCGCCACCATCAGCGAAGTCTTCGTGATCATCCCCGCTGTTAGTGTTACTACTTCTTGCTTTATCGCCACTGTACTTAGCTGAACTTTCCGCGCCATCTTCTTCTTCTGTTCCTCCTTTATTCGATTGTTTTGAAGACTTGTCTTTCCTGTTTCTCACTCCTTTGTCGTCTCCATCTTTTGCAAAAGTCTCCAAGTCCAAGTCTCGCGGCTGTTGGCTACTGATCTCATCACCTGGGTCTTCGTCCTCGTGTTTCTTTTTCTTCTTCTGTTTCCCTCCTTTCTTCCTCTCCTTACTGTCCTCTTTCGCTTCTCTGCCCTCTTGTCTTTTGCGTCTGCTGGAGGAACGAGAGAAGAATCCGGACACCCTCCGGAACACTCCAGCCATGCGGCCACGGAGCTAAGGAGAGAGAGAAAGGGAAAGTGGGTTAGATGAATAATGTGAAAACTTGCATGTTTAACTCGGAAAGGGAAAGAGATGTTCTTCCTTTCTAGGAAAGGGTGGGGGGAGCAGGAACTGTGCATAAAAGAGAGGGAGAGAGAGAGAGAGAGAGAGAGAGAGAGAGAGAGAGAGAGAGAGAGAGAGAGAGAGAGAGAGAGAGAGATACATGTCTGGGACAGTTGAATCGATATAAAAGTCTTGAACATTAATTCATTTATTATTGGCTCTCACTGGAGCAACAGGAGGCAAACAAAACAAAACAATTTACGCAGGAGGGTGGTTGGCGGGTGGTCTGGTGTGGTTTGCTCCTTCTTTCCTGTCAAACATCTATCGTCCTTATCTCTCCTCCTTCTTTCCTATCAAACATCTATCGTCCTTATCTCTCCTCCTTCTTTCCTATCAAACATCTATCGTCCTTATCTCTCCTCCTTCTTTCCTATCAAACA